AAAAGGAAAAAAAAAAAAAAAAAAAAAAAAAAAAAAAAAAAAAGCTGATTTTAAGTTGATGAAATCTGACTTACTCCCTATTTCCTTAGATATTACTATATATTTAAGGCACTGCTGCTTGCCACCAGCTGCAGCTCTGATTACTCCAGCTCTGCTGATTAAAGCTCAGTCAAGCATCCAGAAAAGGACTGCACAGGTAACAACTGGTAAATCACAGACAGACATACCCAAATGATCTATGGGCACTAGGCATCTTGAGCCAAGCAGCACTGCCTACTAGACTGGGAATGCTGTATTTTCCTACCACCTGTCTTGCTTATTAGCATACCCATTTCTGCTACCAATACAGCAAGGTTCCTGCAGATCCCTTCATCACAGTAGCACTTTGCACAGCATGAGGTTAAGATGAACTGCATGTGACTGCTGCAGCCTTGTGGAAATATAAATGCATGGGCCCATCCTCAAAGCCTATGTATTAACACCTGCTACTTTGGAACAAACAAGTAGGCAGCTCAGGCAACCTAAGTGCACTCAAATGTGGTCTTTGTGTACAAGTAGAGAGAAAAAAGAATCAACTCAGGAATGCATTTCTCAAGATTAATAGTCCCTGAATCAAGTATTATAAAATTAAATTACCATCAGGTTACTTCTATCTGGAAGAGCCTTCTTTTTCACATTAAAGTCGTTTGTGTACTGCTCTTCACTCCAAATGTTTATATAGTTCAATGACTGAGATTTCCATTATAGACCAGCAGGTCTTCTAATATGTAGTAGAAGTGTGGAATACATATTTCAAAAAAAGAGACTGCTAAATCCTGTTTATTTGTATCATTTTTAGTCTTCTAATTTAAAAGAGCATTCAGTTTCAGCAACTCCTAACATGGAATTTTCTGGTGTTGAATTCACAGATGGGCAGCATATTCTCAAGCCAACATATGATGACAGCTGCTGATGTACCTTGCTGACTTTTCGCCACATGGTGAGACTTAGGTGTTTTATTTTTAGCTAGTCCATCAAGTTAGCAAAAAACATACAATCCAATTCAGAAAAGTATTCCATTACATATTTTAAAAATACCAAGAAGGTTACTAAACAAAGTTAATTAGATCTAGATAATTAGATCTAGACTTTTAGGTCATTAGAGTAATGATGGCTGCTGCAAAAGGTCATTGACATGGATGCTGGACACAAGCAAATGAGAAAAGGAAACTTGAAAGTGATATTTCCAGATTTTTTTAACTGCTTGCTGTGAAAAGCAAATATGAGACATTGGTGCTCTCCAGCAGGGAGCATTCAGTTCTAGTGAGAAGGAAAGAAAATGTCTGTACTTGGAAAGCCAGAACAGCTTAGAACAGAACAGGCAAACACTACAAAAATTCAGGAAGTATTCTAACAAGAAAGGAATGGTTTTCATTCCACACTAAAATACTCTGAGTGATTGTACAGTACCTTTTCACTAGGAAATGTTATTTATGGTGTTTTTCATTAACTGTGAGCTAGCAGTTAGCACCGCTAGCAAACACAAAGGATAAAGGTTCAATAGTTTTGTGCTGTAAGGCATTATGACATTTGCCCTTTTTCTTTCATGCTGTACTCCCTTCTGTTACTCCCCTCTAAGCAACTTGCCACAAGAAGGTACAAACTCTTATAGAAAACAGAATTTCTAAGAATACTGTTAGGACAATAGGAAAAGACTATTTCATATCACAAAACAAACCCATGTGACAGTGAAAACAAGTAGAGAAGGACATTTGTGTATTTACCCAGGTTGAACAAAATACAGACCAAAAGCAGTCAGTGACTCACTGCAAACAGAAGCATATACTGAACAACCCTTTACTATGGCAAGGATGTCAGCGGTTTCTCTGAGTTTCCCCAAGCACAGTGTACTACTTGCAATGTCTCAGATTTCCCAGCAGTTTTTGTCCACAGTTCCATTGATTATTTTTTTATTTTATTTTTTTTTTTTTTTCCATTTGGAACTCCTGTATTTTATTTCAGTGAACCTCCCAAAAGCAGAGAAGGCATCATTTAGATGCACTAAAGAGGCACTAATGAGTGCTTGTCAAAACAGTAAATTAAAATTACCAGGAAGCCTGAATGATAATTATTACACAGTATGCTAAATGTTTCCAGGTTTTCCCATTCCACTGTCACTGTAACATTTTCTTTCCCTCCAATGTAGCTTTAGCAAGTATCCAGCACCTCTGTTGCCCCAGAGCTTCCCCAGAAAACTGCTCTACCTGTACTTGCACGAACAAGGAACCAATCAGTTGAAGTGAAAAAAAAAGAGGGATTAGTTTTCTAAAAAAGGCAGTCAGAAGCCTTGCAGAGAGCTCCCTTATTCTCCAGTTTTATCCCTGACACTATTTTTATTTTTTTTTTCTGCACGCATGATATATTTTGCATGTGTTGGCACACACAATGTATCTAACAATGTATGTAACGATATATCTAACAATGTAACAAATCCATCCTAGCAGATAGTAGTATCACTTTAGTCAGTAAGTATAGCGATAGAAAGAAAGGTATATGCAGAGGACTGTGGCTTAAACAGCATGGCCCTTTGCTGAGGATTAGCATAGGAACAATTTAGGCTGCCACATCATTGTCATGACATAAACATGCAGCAATCATGGCACACAGTACCAAGAAGATTCTTGTCTTTAAACATACTGTCTAAAATACTTTTTTTATCAAGGGATAAAAATACTGTACGACCACAATGCTCGCTACTGAAGGTGAAGGGGAATTAAATGAAAGTAAGGCCATCGTCCACAATTACTGGTTATGCCATATTTACATGTGGGTTTTTATCTGCTCTAATTAGTTCGACAGCATTGCCAAATACATTTCACGAAGTCCATTTCTTTATTTCCTTGACTGTACTAGACTGATGACTATGAGATCAGCACAGGTTGAGGCTAACAGCAACTAACAATAAGGTGGGCTTCTCAGTTTGTGTGTGTTTGTCAAAACCAGCACAAAGGTTGTTCAAGTGCGTCATGGAGCTGGCATAGAGGAGAAGCCTGTTAGGTCAGCATGCCCAAATGCCTCCCAGTACACTCGTTCTGAAACAGTCTCAGTGGAGAAAAAGTATTTATGTACGACTGAATTCTCCTCCACCTCAAGTTGTCCTGAGAAGCTAACAGTAAAGTATGGGTACTCTGCCATTCTTCATATAAAATCTGAACTTCAAATGCATAATGAGAACATGTGCTTTTAGTACATCGTACTTGTACTTCAGGTCACCAAGAGAGTGCCTTTCAATGCCCACATAAACTGGACACCTACAGTGTTCTTAAATTCATACAGTAGCTGAACATGTGCTTTTACTAAGTTATGCCTGCCTGTGGTTTTGGTAACAAAGCAATTATTTTCTAATGCCTATATAAATGTGTGGTGGGTACCTCTTATATTCACGAAGTAGTAAACTGGATTTGCCTAAGGAATTTGGAGCTCCTATATTGTTTCTTCAGTCTGCCATGGAAGTTCCAAACTGTTTGGCAATGAAATGTGACATGAGACTATGCCTAAATACCCCCTATCTGGGCCTAAAGTGTCCAACAAGGTGAAGGCTGTTTCTTCTGCTTTGCATTGTTTGAGTAAATGCCATTATCTTCTTTTAGCTCAGGCTGGTGTTTACCATCTGTTGATTCTTGGTCTTTGCAGGCTGCAGGTGGTATTTGCACAGCAGACATGACATATCTTGTGTAGGCATCTATTTCTTCATCAGCAGCAGACTCTTGTTGGCTTGGATTATAGGATTTTTCAGATCAGTCATGGTCAACAACTACTGCACCTCATAAAAAGTAATGGTTGTCTGTAAAAGAAAAGTAGCCATTAAGTGAAATACATCTAGCTCACTGAAAGCCATACTTAAAATTTTTAATGAGGTGCTAACTTTCTTTTTAAAACAATTTCTGTGAGAGGTCAAGAATATTTGAGTGATAATGTGAATTTCCTAATTTCATTGAACATCTGGTGATTGGCTGCATCTCATTACATGCACAAAATAATGCTTGCAGTGCTCTACATAAAGAGTTTTCCTTTGGTAGGTCAATGACTTGCTTGAAGTCTGTCATAGTCCCTTACTGTACTAATACCTTAAATAAAGGGACATACAGTTGCTTCCATTTTGTGTACACACAAATGTGGCTACTCCAGGCTCTTGCTGGGCAATCTTAATGCAACACAACAGGCTTTAAGAAATCAAATAAGAAATAAAACAGTTTAATAGACTTTAAATACAACATTCGTGGTTGCTACTGTATAGTATTAAGAACCTTTTCTTCTTTGTTTACAGTGTTTGACTTTTCCAAATTTATTCAAACAAAATGCAAACAGTTTGACCAGACAATTTAGAATTGTTGCTGTCAACATGTAGCTGTCAAAATTTCTGTTTTGGAAGATGAGGTTATAGACTATCTTCTTGCTCAAATGAGGAGCCTAGTGTGAAATTAAGTATTTTATTAAATCAGATAAGCCACGCAACAGGTAAGTGTTTCTATACGAAGGGCCACAAATCCGTTTTTCAGATGTAGGTTCAGAAATGGACCTTTGTGAGAGCTACTGCAGAGATGCAACTGCATTTTTCTGGTGACATTTCTCCACAGATGGGTCCTGAATTTGCCCATTTGCACTCCTGAATAATTTGAGCACTGGACCCAGAGGCATTCTCTTGAGCTTAATATTTAAACCGAACAACACTCAAATAAGAAAAACAAAATGTTGCTTCAGACGCATAAATGTATGTTTGCATACGGTGCCCTGAAACCTCTGCTCAGCTGTAAAGCAACCCAGGTAAACCCAGATTGTAAATCTGTGATGCTTGTACCAAGGGCTCTATCAATGCACTCAGAATTAATCTTTAGCCCAAGAGTGTTACAAAAGGTTATGAAAAAGTACCTTGCTTCTGACTGTGGACAACAAGTTACCTATGGGGCAGCAATGTGTCCCTGTGGCCAAGAGAGCCAATTGTATCCTGGGATGCAATAAGAAGAGTGTGGCTAGCAGGTCAAGAGAGGTTCTCCTCCCTCTCCACTCTGTCCTAATAAGACCACATCTGGAGTATTGTGTCCAGTTCTGAGCTCACCAGTTTAAGAAGGACAGGGACATGCTGGAAAGAGTCCAACGGCAGGCTACATGAGTGATTTAGGGACTGGAACATCTGTCATACAACAAAAGGCTATGACACCTGGGGCTATTTAATCTTGAGAAAAGAAGACTCAGAGGAGACCTTATGAATGTCTATAAGTATCTGAAGGGTGGATGTCTAGAATGGGCCAGTCCCTTTTCAGTGGTGCCCTGTGATAGGACAAGGGGAAATGGCACCAACGTGCAACACAAGAAGTTCCACTTCAACATAAGGAAAAACTTCTTTACTGTGAGGGTGATGTAGCACGGGAACAGGCTGCCCAGAGAGACTGTGGAGTCTCCTTCTGTGGAGACCTTCAAGACCTGTCTGGATGCATTCCTGTGTGATGCACCCCAAGTGTTCCTGCTGCAGTAATGGGGATGGACTCAATGACCTTCAGAGGTCCTGTCCAATCCCTATGGTTCTATGATTCTTACCTGTGAAAGATTTTTTCCTTGCATAAAAAATGAGCACTCAATTTTCAGGTTTTGCCTTTCCTCTTTAAAACTGCCAAGCTCATATAACAGAAGTGTGATACACAAAGATACTCTTCAGATTTTAGGGGCAGAGTAAGTAAAACACTTAACACTCATTAAGTTGGTAGGTGAGGCCAGAAATATCCTCACTGAAGAGTACCTTTTCCATGTTTTTTTCAGACAGAGCACTGCAAATACTTTGTTCCCATCCAACATTATACCATCAGTCTGGTGGGACCACCAAACTTACACTACAGGAGTATGAACAATAAATAAGTTGCAGATAAAAGACCACCTCTGCTAATAAAGCTAAGCCTTTTGTTACAAAGATACAGGTGTTTCTTCACGGATGAAACCATGAATTCACTATGCCATTCACTTCCTCGTTTAATTGCTCTAATCCAAATGAAATAATACTCCTTGATTGCTGTTAGGCTGTTTGATGAAGGCTGGCAATTACTTTGGTAAAGCCTGGTTTCCACCTCTACACAATGTAAATATGTATGAATATTGGTCAATAATTTTAAGATTTGTAAGTATTCATAATCCATTTAATTTTTACCTGTGTCACACAGCTACCTTTAATCACTTCCTGGGAAATAGAAGAAATGCTATGATTACCAACTGCTTCTGCAGCATTTAGTGGCAAACACATTAGGCTCAGATCCTAAAAAGACAATTGCATTTAACTTTTTATACTGTGACACAATTTACCAAAGTCATTGTAATAGCAGAAGACTATCTGCATGCCTGGCATGCATGTGACTTCCTCCTTGTGGATCAGTAACTTAATAAGGAACTGACAGCCACAGAGTGATCATCCAACATTAAAAGTGGTGTCCTAGAGACATGACATGAAACTGGTACCTGACAACTGGCATAAATATCAGCTTCTTAAAGTCCAAAAGTACTTTGAGCTCTGCAAAACCCTCTCTTTTAAGAGATGATGGAAGAAATTAGAATTTATGCACTTAGAAGAACCAAGCTTAACCACATGTCAGTAGGATGGGAATATGTATATCTTTCAAGATACACATACAACCAAAAAGCTTGTTCTCTAGCAGAAGTCTCCTGAACACTGCATATTCATTTTCCACAGAATGCCGGAAACAGCTGCCACTGTTTGATTAATATGGCAGCATTGCAAAAGGACACACTGAACATGTAAGGTTGATTACCGAAGTATTTGGTTCTTTGACATAGTCTGTTTCAAGACTTTAGAGGAAAACTTCTTGTTATTAAATTAAAAAAAAAAAAAAGTCTGAACATGTAAAATCTGCACAAGTCAGACAAAGCAAACAAACAAACAACAATCTAACCCAAACCCCAAAACATTAGGTTTCCATTGTACAAGCAAAATAAACATCTACAGCAGTAAATGCCTACAGATGTAGTCCTGTCTACATCAAAGCAGAAAACAGTCAAAAAATGCTCTTTGAATACAGTTCACCCTAACTATACTTCTAGCATGATTTCACCAGCCAGCATGAACAGGGCCAAACTACAGTTTAGAAGCAAAATTAATGGAAGCTGTTTTTAAACAGGCTTCAAACATGACTTATTAGCTCTGTTCCATGCCCTGCATAGGCTTGAAGCCACTCACACTGTTATCCTTATTGAAAAGCACAACTATTACCCAGTGTTAGTTTAATTCATGCTGGTGACTGAATGATATTTATTCACTCTGATAACATAAAACCATGACATGACAGAAAAGTTAAAAATAATAATTCTTTATATATACACACATATATATACCTTTTCCACTGGACCTTCTTGTGTACGGCTTGAGGTGAGACATCTTGATGGGTCTTTTTAACTTGCATCCTGTAGCACCTCTTAATATTGCACAGCCATTATCTGTAATATAATCTATAAGACAAGGACCAACCCATTCTGATTGGAAACGACCATCTTTCCACCAGTTTTTTCTTTGCCTGAGGACTTCATGACAAACTTTAAGTCGAAGTGTATTTAACTGTTTTGGCTTCCTTTTGGCAGTGATCTTGTCTGTGATTTTTTTGTTCATCTGAAGTATTTTTCATCACCTGTACAAAGATACATATTAATTAAATTTTCCTTTTCCAAAAGTAATCATGTATTTTAATAGCACAGGTTAATATTACAGAAGCATTAAGTGGGGTTGGGTATGTGTAATTCATAATATGTAGGGCTGAAGAAGTCTAAAGAAATTGATTTTATCTTAATAAACCAATAATCCATAAGCAGCAGTTTTCAGCTTCCACAGATACGCAGTTCTCTAATTCAAATATGAATCTCTCAGCAATAGGTCTCTTTTTAAGGTTACTCCCTCCACATACATGTCACAATTGGTACACTGGTATCTAGGGATCAGAGGCAAAGGAAAAAAAAATTAATTAAAAAACCCCCAAAGACCACACATTGCTTCAAAAGGTTAGTTATACTTTACACTTCAAGCCTTGCCATTTTTTTGATCTTCAGTCTTCTAGTAAGTAAAATTTGAATATATAACATTTACCTGACAATCTGAGAACTTCTCTTCTTCCAGTGCTTGACTGGCTTTTTTAGTTGCTTCAAATATTTTGGCAAACATACTGCATTCCCCTTCCACACAGATATTCAGTGGCTCAACAACATGTGGATTTTGATTAAACATTTGGAAATATGGAGTGTTTTGATATGGATCCTATTTAAATGGGGAGAAAAAACAAGTAAACTGAGCACAGAGCTTTGAAGGTATTTGGGGGCACAACAGTCAAAAAAGGAGGAGCAGAATCATATGTATGAACTGTTCCTCTGTAAGCTAGGTCAGACCAGGCAATAAGGCAATGGAAAAAAAAACACCAAAGCTATTTTATCATTGTTCTTAAAATTTTTTACCCTTAGATTTTTCAGCCCCAGCATAAAACCAAACCAACACAAGTGAAGGCTGGAAAAAGGACATGTGCAAGAATACATAGCTGAACACTCCTCATCTGAAAGCACTGTCCTCTTTCAAGTCCACAGTATAAATTATAACACGGGTTACCATCTGCAAATACTAAAGGAAGTATGAAGTAGCTGGGATGGAAAGAAAATCCAAATAATTCCCATTTCGGTTCTACTTTGTACGCTGTGGCTGAAAAACATTGCCAATACATGTAATCTTTCGTGCATAACGTAGATCAGCTTTATCTGCCAGAGATTGCTCCTTTGTCCAAGCTTTAACTGAAAACAAAGACTCATTTTCAGTTCATGTTACAGTTACACATGAATCCAAAGTATTCAGATGATGCAGCAAGCTGACAGAAACAACAATTTGGCCATAAAGGACATTTAAATACAGTTTCCTCAAGGACCACATTCTGCATGGTAATCATGTCCATGTATCTTTGGGTGAAGGAGGAGAAGGAACTTTCCCAAGTAGGGACTTGTTTAACACATAATTACAAGGCAGAGGCATAATTTTCATGTTCTTATCTGCAACAGCAACTCTGGCCATAAATCCTTAGGATGGTACACTCCATCCTAACAAAGATACAGAAGTCCTTGTAAGAGAAATCGCTCTCAAAGATCAGATGTGCTCTGCATACTTAAAGGCAGTATGGCTCCCTACTACTGGGTAGCATACGGCAATATAGAAGACATGAAGTCTGTAGCAAAATTAAAAAAAAAAAAAAAGGAAATATTATGCTTTAGACCATTTAAAATTGGATTGTAACCTTAAGTTTCCCCTTCATGAAGTAGTATGGGTGCTTGCTGTATCAAAGTCATTATTACAAAACATTTCTAACAGACTACATTAAAATTCTGCAGTTATTAAATCATACCCACTGTTTGACGTCATTTGTTACAGAGCTCCAGTAGTAATTAGATTCCACTAAAGTCAATGTCCTGGATATGCCATGATGAGTGCCAGCAGCATTTTTGTGGCATTTCTCAAGCACCTTTTTCTTCTCTTCATCTGAAACAATTACCAGGTGCATTTTTTTTCTGTCTTTTCCAACACAGAAGAACTTATTTTCTGAAAGAATAAAATTACCAGCAAATTATATGCAAGTGTAATTTTCTTTCTTTTGTTTAGTTTACTAAACTGCTGGACATGATCCAGTGCAGAATGTATTAAATCAACTTCAATTCACTTCTGTGTAAAACAGCTTTTTGTTTATAAATACTTCCTCCAAAGAGCCAACTGCTCACCTATGTTTATTAATCTGGACAAGGGCAAGTCAGAAATCAAACATTCCCACAGGAAGTCTGACTGAAGCACAAACGAATGCAGGGAGTAGGAAGGGGTGGAAGGATGTGTTACTGGCCACCCGCCAGCAACCTGACATTGCATTTTGCTGCATTAACTCCTCACCACCTTCTCTCTATGTAGACTTGGCAGGTTCGATGCAATTGAGAGTACCCCAGACTACAAAGAGATCCAAAACGCTGGGAACGGATAGGAGGCTCTAAGGTGACAGAGGGCAAAGCTATCCTTGCATTTCTCCCTGTCACACAGATCACTGTCCAGACAGGACCATGCATTCCTTGTCTCTTTTCTGTAGTCCTTTGAATTATGGATTGCAATGGCTACATCCTTTCCCAGAATCTACAACAAGGCTTGGCTTTTAGATAGATACATAAATCCCTCAGGGAAAGGACTAAAGAAGGTAGTGGGGGAAGGGCACCAGTGGTAGGTACCGGTAAGAAGCTGAGACGCTCCCCCTGCTCCTAAACCAGCCAAGGAGTCATTAGAGAGACAATAGACGCTCCTCTGCGATTAACATACGAAAGAGCTTCTGTAAGACCTGAGCAGACCAAGAAGTTAGAAAAGAGCTGTGCTGGAGAGATGAAAGGCAGTGCTGGGACTAAGATCCCGTAGTTGGTGCGGAGGAAGTGAAAGAAGGTGCCCTAGCAGAAGTTTCCCTGCAACCCATGGCGAGATGGCAGCTGTCCCCCTGCACGTGGTGGAACATTCCCTGAAGGCACCAGGAGGGGTTAACTTGGCCAGTGAACTTGGATTTTGCTGCCAGTGGACTTAGACTATGCAGCTGTGGAAGACCCCGGCACCAGGGGAGATGACTGTTCCTGAAGCAGCCTGTGACTCTGTGGGAAACCCACGCTGGAGCAGCTTGCTCCAGACCTCGTGGGAAGGACTCATGGAGAGGTTCTTGGAGGACTCTCTCCCATGGGAGGGACCCTGTGGAGAAGCAGAGAAGGAGTGTAAGGAATCCTTCTTCCTGAGGAGGGAGAGGCTTGGAACCACCAGCCTGTGAACTGACGACTCTAAACCCCATCCCTTGTCCACCTGTGCCACTGGGTGGAAGGGGGGAAAGAAATCGGGAACAGAGTAATTTGGGCCTTTGTTCTCCCCACCCCACAGTGGCGGTCGGCCCAGGTGACTGTTGAGTGAGTGGCCACAGGGCTGTTTCTTTGTTGACCGCGACAATGTATTAACAAGGGTTGGGCAGATTGTTTCATAGAGAATAAATATTAAAATCACACAAAGCTGCAGCACAAGATCCCACTTTGCTTTCTTTGCATTGGCAAATCGTCACCTAAAAACCTATTTTCAGATTTATTTTCAGTTTTAGAGAGTATTTTTACCTTTGAAAACAATTTTTTTGGCTGCTCTCCTGATTCCACTTCTTTCACTCGATAATGTTGTGGGATGATACTCCCCTGTTCGCTTGTAATACGCAATCTGCTTCAAGTGGAGCCCACCATCTTTTCCACTTCGGACCATTGCTAACCTGAACAAAATGCACAGTATCTGTTAGATGTAGCAACCACCAGAGGAGCACATCTGCCATTTATACTGGTTTCTTTGTACTTCAGAGGTATCCTGACAAAGTAGTGTCTAAGGGGATATTAGACCACTGCATTGCTCTTGATATCCCCATACTATCAATATAAGTAATAAGGAACACTGCTTGACACACTACTTCTGTTCTACGCAAAGTTGTTTTTTTCATCCTATATTTTTAAACTTCCAAACTGTGGGGACTTCCTCTATATTTATTGGATGAGGCAGAGGGAAATGATACTAGGGAGAAAGAAATTGCTCTTCTCCAACATTTGGATAGCTTTCAAATGGAAATGTGCTGGAGATTAGATGGCCCAAAGAGCCACTCTGGTTGGAAAAAAAACACCCTACAGACCAGTAGGAAAAAACAACTCCCTGGATGGAAACATCTAATAATTGCATTCTAGGGTCCCAAACCAGACTCAGTGTTTAAGGTAATAACGCATTCCTTGACACAAGCTGACCTCCCTGATCATATTAATAAACTCAGATGTCATTAGTAAAATGTGTCAATGATACAGGAAAAGTTAGGGTCTAGCAAGAGTAGCATCAAAATATCTAGCTATAAATGACAAGCAGAAATATTCACAGGCAGAAATATTTGTGCAGGCTTTATGTGGTATCAGTGATTTATTTTTCAAAATCTGCTCCAAGAGCAATGAAGATGTAGATGGAACATCTACCTGGGTCTGCCAGGACATAATTTCTTACTGAAATGCTGGTTATTCACAGCATTAAGCAATTTTCTTCTTCATCCTCCTGGTGTCCTAAGACTAGACAATGTGACAACACATAGCCTGGTAAAAAGAGTAATCAGTTTGTCTGCCATTATCTGCTAAGTGTCATACAATTATAGGGAAGTGACAGTATCGAATCATTCTGGAATCCATGTTATCTCATTATACATAGACGCTATTTGTAAGTCGGAATATTTATTTTTCAATTTATAGATTCTTCCCCACCTTTACTATACTTGGGGTGGCAAGGAGGTAAAGAACTCCATAAAGAGTGATTATGCCTGCTTCTATTTACTCAGTTTCTCACAGAAAATAAAATGGGCTAAACATTGCTATGTTATCAATGTCAAATATACATCAGGAACTTCACACTCAAACAGTGAAAAGACCTTTGCCCTGCTGAATATTAATTTTGTACAACCTAGACCTGGCTTTCAAAACCAGCTTGATCTCTTGTCATATAATATTAGCGTTTTAAAGTAAAATTCTCATAACGGACATACCTAACACAGATAAACTTTTCACCACTACAATCCTGCCTGTGAAGGAAGAGAGCATTTCAAAACAAGATTTTTATCGGCGACCTGTATGAGGGAACTGACTTAATCCTCAGTAAATTAGTAGATTACACCAAATTGCGTGCACCTCTGCTTGAGGGCAGGAAGACTGCAAAGAGATCTAGACAGGCCAGATAGATGGGCCAAGGACAACTGTATCAAGTTCAACAACACTGCATGTCAGGTCCTGCACTTAGGTCACAACAACCCCATGCAATGCTACAGACTTGATGAAGAGTGGCTGGAAAGCTGCCCGGTGGAAGAGAACCAGGAGGCATCAGTGAACAACAATTCTCTTATTCTATAACTCTTATGCTATCTCTATCAATACTCATAATGGACCTAGTATTCTGTAAAAATCAAAGACTTTTAAATTAGTAATCAATTCTTAATGCCTTTGAAGCAAGAAAATACACTGCATTACAGTCAAGAAAAGTATTTCAGAAAAGAGAATTAAACTTCCATATAACCAGGGCTCCTTTTGTTTTAGCATCTTAGCCAGAACAGTCATGTGTACTAACATATAACTATTTTACGTGTTCATGCAATTTCTTCCCACACACAATCACGATCATAACTACAAAGCTGTTAAGTGCCACTTTTGAGCACTCCCCCTTCCTCTACCTGCAGCTCCTGCCAGAAACAGCAATTCCCCATGGAGCCTGATGCACATCTTTTTTACCTAAAGTCCTTCCAGGAACATGTAAATACGATGGACACCATTGCTCACATCCCTCCCTAACTTTTCAAAGTCTGACCCGTTTTTTTGACAGAGACCCCTGTAATTTCAGAACACCTTCATCTCTCGGCTACCTCCTGCTTCCAGCCGGGCCCCACGCGGCAGGCTGCTGGCAGCACCCGCTCACACACAGGCCTCAGCGAGGACGGAACCAGCGCTGCAGGCGGTGACACATGAAACCACCGCCTTCATCTC